TGAACAGTTCTTTATCTGTTTGCCAAGGCTGGAGTGCAATTGGCGTACGTCCTGGCTCACTGCAACGCTCCACCTCCCGGGTTCAAGCCGATATCCTCTTGCCTCAAGCTTCCTGAGTCAGCTGGAAATTAAGGTGTGTGCCACCATGCCGGCCGGCTAATTTTGCATTTTCAGTAGAGACGGGGTTTCACCATTGGCCCAGGCTGGGTCTCGAGCACTCCTGACTCAAGTGATTTGGCCTTTCTCAGCCTTCCAAAGTGCTGGGATTAGCAAGCGTGAGCCACTGACCCAGGTGGTGTTAAACTATGGTGTTTACCAGCTGTATATACCATTCCATCGACGACATGTCATTCCAAAAAAAAAAAAAAATTCATAAATTTTATCATTTTTTTATTCATATAAAACATGAAAAATATAAAAATATATATTGTAGATATATCATATAAGAATAAAACTAGAAACTACCTGCACTATTCTGCATCTACTAAATGATTTCTAGAGGGACTCACACTACTAAACAAACAATTTTCTCAATAGGAACAAGACCAGGGTCCTGCTCTCACTTACGGTCCCCACGGCCAGCAGTGAGCCTGGCATGGAGGAGGCCCTCAATCAGTATCTGCTCAGGAGGTGCAGAAGTATAGCCCGTTTGGGAAGGACTCAGTTTGATTTTAGAAGCAACATTTCTTATTTTTAGGGGTCATGCTTCTATTTGTGGACCATATACTCACTTCAGATTCCATTTAAACATTTCAAAATACTATCGGGTTCAAAATGTACATGCTTGTTTTATTATACACATCCCTCAATTATTTCTATTCTTTATCCAGTTCTTGTTTTTTTTTTTTGTTGTTTGTTTTTGAGACAGTTTCACTCTGTTGCCTAGGCTGGAGTGCAGTGGCATGATTATGGCTCAATGTAACCTCAACCTCCCAAGCACAAATGATCTTCCTGCCTCAGCCTCCTGAGAAGCTGGGACCACAGGCATGTGCCACCACACCCAGCTAATTCTTCTGATTTTTGTAGAGATGAGGTCTTACTAGGTTGCCCAGACTGGTCTTGAACTCCTGGGCTCAGGTGATCCTCCTGTGTTGGCCTTCCAAAGTACTGGGGTTATAGGTGTGAGCCACTGAGCCTGGTAAGCTCTTGTTTCTGGTTCTGGTAATGACCTGTGGCATGGCAAGGGCTGGTTGTGAGGAGCCCTTTCCAGGCTGTCTGAAGATGGCTTACCAATGTTAACTGAGTCTTCCCAGTCTTCCAGCACTTCAGTGACAATGAGCACATAGACATACGTCCTGTGCTTCCTCTCCTGGTTCTGAAGGGCAAAGAGAGAAGGACAGAGAGAGTTTTTCCTTAGAAAGCTGGAATTACTTAAATGAAACACACTCTTAAGCATATGTCCAGAGAGCTTAGACACAAAGATTCTAAACTTTTACTTTTTATGGTCCTACATGATTTAAAACAGGCCACACTTGAATTTGAGGGTGTGCTCTTTGCCTGGACTTCTAAAACCAAGTATTTATATTGTTTTTTCCTCCCCTTCCCCTAAACACAACTTCACAGGAATGCTGTGACTCCTTAAGAAAAAGGCATCATAGGCCGGGCGCGGTGGCTCAAGCCTGTAATCCCAGCACTTTGGGAGGCCGAGGCGGGTGGATCACGAGGCCAGGAGATCAAGACTATCCTGGCTAACATGGTGAAACCCCGTCTCTACTAAAAATACAAAAAAAACCTATGACCGGGCGTTGTCGGGGTTGGGGCGCTGTGAGTCTCGCTACTTGGAGGGCTGAGGCGGGAGATGGGGTGAAACCCGGGAGGCGGGAGCTGTGCAGTGGGCGAGATTCGCCGCCCTGCCACTCCAGCCTGGAGAGACAGCGTGATCCGTCTCAAAAAAAAAAAAAAAAAAAAAGAAAAAGAAAAAGGCATCATGTAAATTTAACTAGCTAGAACACCAGGGAAAGGACTGTCGATGGGTGGGCCACCACAGAGGTCTCAAACTTCAGTGACCCCAGCAAGGCAAACAAGCTGAGTGTGACACACACACACACACACACACACACACCCCTTTTCCCACTAACCCCACTTACCTATTTTTTTGAGAGAGGGCCTTACTTTGTCACCCAGAGTGGAGCGCAGTGGCATGATCATGGCTCACCGCAGCCTTGACCTTCCTGAGCTTAGGTGATCTTCTCACCTCAGCTTCCTGAGTAGCTGGTACAGGCACGCACCACCATGCCCGGCTAATTTTTGCATTTTTAGTAGAGACAGCGTTTCACCATGTTGGCTAGGCTCGTCTCAAACTCCTGACCTCAAGTGATCTGCACGCCTAGGCCACCCAAAATGCTGGGATTACCTATGTGAGCCACCGTGCCCAGCCAATTTTTGTACTTTTTTTGTAGAGACAGGATTTCACCATGTTGCCCAGGCTAGTCTTAAACTCCTAGGCTCAAGTGATCCTCCCATTTTGGCCTCCCAAAATGCTGGGATTACAGGCATGAGCCACAGTGCCCAGCCACCTTTTAAAAAATTTTATTTATTGCCGGGGCAATGGCTCATGCTTATAATCCCAGCACTTTGGGAGGCCAAGGTAGGCGGATCACCTGAGGTCAGGAGTTCCAGACCAACCTGGCCACCATGGTGAAACCCTGTCTCTACTAAAAATACAAAAATTGGCCAGATGTGGTGGCGGGCACTTGTAATCTCAGCTACTTGGGAGACTGAAGCAGGAGAATCGCTTGAACCTAGGAGGCGGAGGTTGTGGTAAGCTGAGATCGTGCCATTGCACTACAGCCTGGGTGACAGAGCAAGACTCTGTCTCAAAGAAAAAAAAAATTATTTATTTACATATCTATTTTTTCATTAGAGATCTTTCTTCTGATATTTTTATTTTTAAAACTTTTTGTAGAGATAAGAGTCTCACTCTCTTGCTCAGGTTGGTCTTGAACTTCTACCCTCTAAGAGATTGTTGTGCATCAGCTTCCCAAAATGCTGGGATTACAGGGGTGAGCCACCATGCCCAGCATCTGCTCATCTTTATTTCTCCTGATTTCTCACTTCTTTTCCTGCCTTCTTTCAAATTTGTATCGCAGCTTATTTCCTTGTTTTTCCTCTCTTTGTTATAGTTACTTATCTTCTATTTTTCTTGTCTCTCTACACTCAGCTACCCTTCCTCCTACCTTGGTAGGAGAGGAAGAAAGGTAGGAATGGGGTAAAATAATACTTACAAATAATTCTAGTAGTTTAGGGGACAAGACTATGGGATTTCTTTCTTTCTTTTTGTTTTAAAGCATGTTATCCTCTGTTGTGCTGCTTTCTTTAAAAAACTCACCGAGGTTGGGCACGGTGGCTCACGCCTGTAATCCCAGCATTTTGGGAGGCTGAGGCAGGAGGATCGCTTAAGCACAGGAGTTTGAGACCAACCTGGGCAACCTGGCAAGACCCTGTCTCTTACAAAAAAATTGAAAATTTAGAAGGCATGGTGGTGTGTTCCTGTAGTCTCACCTACTTGGGAGGCTGAAGCAGGAGATTGCTTGAACCCAGGAGTTCAAGGCTGCAGTGAGCTATGACTGTGCCACTGCACTCCAGCCTGGGCGACACAGTGAGACCTTGTCTCAAAAAGTTAAAAATAACTAAAAAACACCCAAAAACTCGCTGAAACAGAGATGGCATTTTTCCTATGTTAATATCTGTGTGGTTATTAATACATATCATTTGTACCAAAGATTTTAACAGACTTACCTCAAAAATTCCAACTAATCTTCCCAATGTCCCTTTTACTCCAGCCTGGAAAGTGAAAAGAATAATTAATGCACTGATAGTATTATATTGCTGGTCTCATTCTCAGTCTTCTTAAGCAGTTTATAAAATAGAAACAAAAAACAAGAGGACACAGCTTGGGCAGACTCACATCTGTGAAGTGATACCAGTGTTTCCTATGTGTCACAGACTGCTAACAGCAGTGTATGCTCTGGGAAGTTAGAATGCCTTTCATTTCTTCTGGTCTCTCTCCCTACTGCAAAGCTAGCTAAACCTAGCAAGATAATCAAGGCCATGAAGCCACCATACCAAAAATATTTTGAGGGATTGATTACTTCAGGTCAGGCACTGCCACTTTGGGAGGCTGAATTGGGAGGATCGCTTGAGGATAAAAGTTCAAGATCCACTTGGGCAACATAGTGAGACCCTGCCTCTAAAAATTTGTTTTTAAATTAGCCAGTCATGGCAGCATGTGGCTACAGTCCCAGCTACTGGGGAGGCTGAGGTGAGAGGATCACCTGAGCCCAGGAGTTCAAGGTTGCAATGAGCTATGACTACACCACTGCACTCCAGCCTGGGTGACAAAGTGAGACCATGTCTCAAAATTAATTAATTAATTAATTAATTGGTCAGGTACTATGGCTCACGCCTGTAATCCCAGCACTTTGGGAAACTGAGGCGAGTGGATCACTTAAGCTCAGGAGCTCAAGACTAGGCTGGGCAACATAGTGAAACCCTGTCTCCACAAAAAATACAAAAATTAGCTGGGTGTGATGGTGCACGGCTGTAGTCCCAGCTACTCGGGAGGCTGAGGTGGGAGGGTTGTTGGGTCCAGGAGGTGGAGGTTGCAGTGAGCCGAGATCACACCACTGCACTCCAGCCTGGGTGACAGAGCCAGACCCTGTCTCTAAATACATACATACACACACAGATTACTTCATTCACTTATTCATTCAACAAATATATACTAAATGCCTAATTTGAACCAGAAAACAGTGTATGTGCCAGAGGTATAACAATGAATCGGCTAGAATGCAAGATCCCATAAGACCCTTGTCTGACTTGGCTGTCCGCATACAATCTGCTGGAAGAGAGTTCAGCACCCTGCAAGAACTCAGGAAAGCCTAGATCAACAAGAACATAAACATGGTAATTCTGCTATGGGTAAGTATCATGACAGAAATACACAGAGTGATGTGATGACAAGAAGTGGCAGGGAGAGGGGCAACTTCAGTGGTCAGACCTTTTTTTTGAGTGGGGGGATGAAGTCTCACTCTGTCACCCAGGCTGGAGTGCAGTGGTGCAATCTCGGCTCACTGCAACCTCCGCCTCCCAGGTTCAAGCGATTCTCCTG